CTTCCTACTTGAATCTTCCCCTCTTGCCTTTGCCTTTGGTTAAGTGAAGCTTTTGTGCTCTTCATCTGTCTTTCTCCTCTTTCTCTTTTTGACCCCGTATCTTTCACTACTATGTAAACCTCAAAAAATCTTCCCTCTATCGGCTACCTCACCCCCTCATCTGCTTCTTTCTCTTAAAAGGCAGGACATCAGAAAGGGGTTTTACTGTCACTGGACTTTATTATCAGACAGCCACCCTTCTGCTGTACCCCAAATCCAACGCGAAAACGAAACTAAGCGTGGTTCCATGAGGAATAGGTTTTAGGTCGTTCGAATGTTGTAAATAGGCTTCCACCGCAGGAGGGTGGAGCTCCTCACTGGGGTTACAGTCCTTCGCGGACAGCAGGGGCTCAGGGCCAACGGAGGCTGGTGTGCGTTTTCTCTCTGCCGGGTAGTCCAGCACACTCTGGGCACTAGGGTGCAGAGGCAAAGAGGACATAGTCTTTGTCCTCACATAGCTTCCCTTCTGGTCTGAGAATGTCCCACCGCGTGGGGAGCAAGTCTCTGGCCATCAGAGTTCGCAAGGTGACTCCTCAGAGGTCTTGTCTGACACCCTCTTAGCCTCTCTGTTAGGCAGGCCTGTTCTTCCGAAAGAAGAAATAGTAAAACTGTGCACAGCTCATAGAAAAGAACGTACCTTAAAATTTGATGAGAAGATAAAGTATTGTATTTTTCATGCTTTGGAGATGTGAACGTGATTTAAAGCTCTGACCAAGATGCTTGTGTTGCAGGTCAAGGCTCTCCAGCGAAGCCCAGCGGACACAGGCACCGCCTTGTGGGAGCCCAGCGCGAGGTCCCTCCCAGCCGGTCACCTTCCTGCACAGAGCTCAGCTGACAGCCCCTACAAGGGCCTGAGGGCCAAACGAGGCCGGCTCGCCCCCAGCCCAGAAGCCGGCCCCGAGTCCAATGAGAACTGTAGGGTCCAGTAGGAGAGACCTCGTGTGTCAGGACCCCTGGCAGCGGCAGTAGTTGACTAGAAGGCAGCTTCCAGGGGCGCATCTTCAGTCAGGGAGCACGCGACAGGTGGCAAGAAGTCAATTCAAATCACAATATATGGCACTCGTTAGATCTTCTGTTGTAAGTCTTAGAAAAGGTAGGAGGCCGTGATCACCTAGTCGTCATCGGTAGCTCTGTGTGGTAACGTAAACATAGTAGAAAGCTTCTCGGTAATGTTCACTTAAGTGGCAGGCACTAAACAACAGCTTCTGTTCGTGTGTGGATTTTACACTAAAAAAAAAATGCCAAACACATTTTATACTTCCAATTAACAGCTCCCAGGAAAATGTAAACTTTTGCTTTATGATAACTTCCCATGAATAGTGTTAGGCCTGAAATAGTTTTAGATCGAGAATTTCTTTGAGCTGTGTAAAATGAAGGAAAACCATGCTGTGTGTTTTTAAGGAAAACATTTACACGTAGACACACATAGGTGTGTTCACCCTTCTCTTCCAGTGTGTTTTCTAAGCCTTTGCTTATGCAACCTGTACATATTTGTGTGTTCTGGTGATGGGAGTTGGTTGTTTATTTCCACTTAGCCTGGTTGCAGGCTCCTTAAAGGTGTAATATGTCAAGTTTTCTGTCATTGTGATGTTTCTTTTCTAAGACCATTTTCGTATGCCTTCTCACAAATGGTGGTCTTGTATTTAAATATGGCTCTTTTTCTAATAAAAATAAATCACCTCTGTTTTCTATAAAAAAGATTAAGTATAAATGCATTACGAACGTGGGTACCATTTGCTGTCAACTTCAGCAACCTCTTACAAAGGTAAACTTTTAACAAGTGATACTAGTATAGTTAGGGAGCATGTTCAGTTATGTTAAAAGACAGGACTTGGAATATGGGTCGTGAAGATCATATGGGAATATACTACGTCCAGCCAGTGCCCAGCACATTATGTGTCCCCGTTAAATCACATAAGCAAGGATACAAGCGTGTGGTACTGTCCAGCTCATTTTGATGACAGGGTTTTGAAAATCTGCAGGACTATGAGCCATATCAACCCTGACAACTTCAGCATTGGTCCTTGTGTCCTTGGATCAGGGTGAAAAAGCTTTTCAGGACATGAGCTAGTAAAAGATCATTTGCTCTTGGCTTTTGGTACGGATTGATGTATAAACCTTGACCAATACTCTCATTTATATGTTAAAATTGTCCTTTGCAGCATGGCCTCTCTTGTTGGACAGTGCTTCAATAACATTCAGCTACTTAGGATTCACATTCTGAAAGCCGATAGCCTAACTTCCCTCCTGTTTCAGTTGCTCGGGGGTTGTGGTCTGGTGCACTATTCTTATCATAAATCATCCCAAGGCTGCCATGCGCTCAAGGGCACGGCCCCGAGTAGACATCACTGGGACCAGGCCATCAGCTTTCTTGGCTGCCCCTGGTGACTGGAAGATTCCACTCAAAAGGTCTGCCCGAAGAGCTCTGTGGGTCCTTGAAAGCATCTTCTTTTTCTGGCTGGACTGTCGCTATTGCTCTTGTTACAGGGAGTGTCTGCCATGCCTTCCATTTTCATAATCATGGGGAATTGTTCATGGGGTTATAAGTGGACAGCCAGGACATTAAATATTCTTTTTCTCTGGCTAGCGATACTCGTGTGCTGTGAGCTCAGCAGCAGATAGGATGAAAAGTAATACACGATAGTCCCAACTCTGAAGTATGTAGTGAGTTCAGTGACAAATAAGATCCTAGCTGACAAATCATATGGAGAAGTAGACCAAGCCCAGAGGCCTAGGAATGGGATTCTCTCATCTGTACAATGAGGGGCTCGGCTGAGGCAATTCTTCTTGAATGGTTTGTAGGAACTGAGATGGCTTTGTGTTTTGGGGAATTATCAAGAGTCCAAAGAGACCGCATCTTCACTGAAAAGAGACTAAAACCCAACATTTAATGTAGCCTGATCTCCCAAGTCATCCCTGCACACACTAACCTCTGAGATTTATTTTTGGTTTCTCTCATTTGACCCCAGTCAAATTTATTTTGTTGAAACTATCAGATTTTCCCAGATTTATGTGAACCTGGAAAGAAGTCAGAGCCCGTCTTCCCAGGGGGGCGCCCTCTCTAGGAGGGGAGATCGGTTCCATTCCCCACAAAGACTAACTGCTGTTAGGGCAGCTCAAAAACGTTGATCTTAGAGTTTCCAAGCTCTTCCAAAGTTATTCTGGCAATGGCAGTACGTCTGCAAAGTAATTTAAGTGGGAGATAAACTACGGTCGATAATTTTAAGTTCTAGGTTTATTATGCCACAGTCAGAAGTTGCACTAATCATTGGCATATATTTCACATTGCTCTTCCGTGATTGAGAAAGGGGATACAACTATTTCTTCAGGAGGACACTAAGTGCTGGAGTGGACAGTTGAGCTCTGTTCTCCCTGCTACTTCTAGTCATAGATGAGACTAGAGGAAGGGGCTTTACGCTAGGTTCACTGACCGGAGAGAACGCTGAGAGAAGAGAATGTAGAGTGCTTTGGGAAAACCAAGCCATTCCATGGACAAGTCTGAGGACCTAAAGCTAGCATCCTACCTCCAGGAAGAGCTACGTATCTAATGCCACCACTCAGCTCGGCGATGGCTAACTACTTAAAACACTGTGGAAAGTTACACATTTTCCAAAGTGATTTTACGTGTTCGCTCAAACATACACCTTTGGGAGATAAGACATTACAGTTTTATAGGCCGAGATTAAGAGACACAGGTGGAACTTATGACTCACAGGTCTGGGATGGCCTTGTTAATAATTATAGCGATGTCTCACCACAGCTTTGCAAAATGGGGGTAATCTTCATTGGATAAAAGATAAGATAGGGTGAGAGAGTTGGAGTATTTCAACCTCAGTTTTATGAGAACAGAGCCCAGACTTGTTTGTCCTGTGCCTCTCTAGAGGCAGGATGTTCCAGAATAATTCTGATAGGATAAGTATTCAAATGCTTTATCTCATGTGATATGTAGCTTTTCCACTTTATCTGTGCCATGCAGATGTCCTTAAGTCTCGGATGATGGCATCTGACTTGTGTTACATTGAATTTTCAAAAATATAAAAATGGACTAGCTGTAAATTTCAACTTCTAAAAACTAACTTGATGCATAAGCATTATTTAAATCCTTTTAAAGAATCTTTTGCAAGACCTTGAAAATTCTAAAGATTTATAAAGTTATGAATATAAAAGTTTAGTATAAATGTAGCCATTAAAGTGAAAGTCAGGTGTTAGAATGTCGAGCTGCCCATGTGACCTTGGACAAATTACTTAGTTCACTATGCCTCAGTTTCCTCTGATATAATTGGGAATAAAAGTTAATCTCAAAGTTGTGGTGATTATATTAGTTTTATTTAATGATGTGTATGATTTTACACTCAAAGCGATTATACAGATCATTGCAATTTAAAAATATACTTAAAATTGTTAGATAAATCTGTTTTTCTAACAACACACTAATTTCAGTTTAAGTTTTGTCCTACAAAATTCTCAACATTCTCAGTACCATTGATTCTTATTTTGCAAGTTTAATTATAGATTCGTACATATCATTCAATTACTGATGTTGCAAATGAATGCATACACTGATTTTTGGGTTTTGTTTGGCTTGTTAAAAATACCCAAAGAAAACAATTATTGCAATAATTAAAAGTGAGTTGTGTTGCTGAATTTCATTGGTCATTTGGAACTCAGAATACATTTCCTTATAGAAGCAGCATTGCAAACTGTACCTGAATTCAAGCCCAGAAAGTCAATTTAGCTCATAGTGTGTTTAAATGGTAATTAAGTTTGTTTCAACTGTACAGGACCTCCACTCAGCATTGTTTCTCTGGTAAAAAATATATTTTAGGCATTGGGTTACCAGAAACTCATTTTTCTATTCCTCACCCATTTCCTGGTGTGTCCAATTCTCTTCCCATTTTGTGGTGTTGGACAATTGTCTAGTGGGCTCAGGGAAGAGTAAGTGTGTAGATTCCTACCTGCCACATTGCTAACAGCCCTGGCTCCCGGTATGAAAGGGAAAGTGATGGCTTTCACATCTGTCCTGATGCTGCAGGTAAGATCCATCCTGTGTAATGCTGTATTTACATGTATAAATGTAAGTGTTTTGTTCTATTGATGTTTTAAAAAATCACAAAGAAACATATCATTTTTGTTTACTTGCGGATTGAGTTCCAGCCCACAAAATTCCCACCAGCCTCCATCCCCTCAATGCAAAGAGTGTGGCAGATGAGTAAGGTTGCTGTGCTACGCTATTCCTCTCCTAGGACACCTTGAGGTATAAAAGAGAGTGATGTTTATCTGTATAAAAATACAGTATTTGCTAAACCAAATCCTTGTGGTTTCAAATGCTTTATCTCATGTGATATGTAATAATCTTGTGAAGTGGGCCCTATTTTACCATTCAAGAAGAGACCCAAAGGTGTCTTGTGTGGTAAAACAAACCTGAGGCTGCAGTCTTGAGCCCCATTCCTAAGCTCCTCGTACATAACCATACCACCCCGCCCCAAGTAGCGAGTAAAAGAACCGAGTACCAGACACCAGCCTGGCACGTTCTTTTAGGATCCCATTCTGAACCCAAAGGGGGAAGGCTCCTTCTTTCGAGGCACAGGACAACTCCACACCTAAGGGAGATGTGCTTTATTTAACTTCATTTAACTCTTTGAGAGGATCAGGGATTTGGTGCTTGGGTTTCCAGCAAAAGTTACCCTCTCTTAATAATAGTCTTTTCTTTTTTTTCCTCCAATGCTGCTTTTGCAAGGAGATAGGAAAATGGCAGCTTTCCACAGTTATAGACTTTTTAGTGAAACATTGGGATATTCTTGAGTTTTAGATGTGAACTAATCCTCTCGGTATTAAATCCCAGTTGTGTTATCTAACAGCATTTGCTGGCTGCGTGCCCGCCCTTTCCTGCTTGACCTTGGGCAGTGCACCTGAGAAAGTTATTTGTCCTGGATACCATCTGCTTGTTATAGAGGTCATCTTCTTGGACTTAGGCCAGCAGAGGGTCACAAGAATGCCCTGTGTAAGCCCACAATGCTTTGTCTCCTCTGTGCTATTTGTGGGCAGCCTACATCATATGTCTACACAGCGCAGTGTGGACACTTTTCTTAGAGTCATAGACACGTGAGGAAGGAAAGAAGTGACACTTGCTGTGATTTGTAAACAGGTGCAGTGAATGTGGAGACTTTTTCGTTCTGAAACAGCTACCCTCAGTAGCTAGGTGAGCTTCATCTCGGTTCTGCCTAATTCGTGTTTTCAGTTTGGGCATTCGATCCTGTGAGGCAGTTGGGTTCCCTCCATGTGGAAATACCAGATGTTTGTGGATTTGAATATAACATTTTAATGGCAGGCCTAATAAGTAGAGGATATCCATCATTCCTAGAATTTAAAACAACGTATTGAGAAGATTTACTGAAGATTCCACTTGCCAATCTGTTATGAAAACCAGAAGCCCAAATTAGCATTTTAAATGTTGTTCCAACATGTATAACAAAATTAGACTCCCCCGCTCCTTGAGGTTGTCATAAACTCATTTAAGAGAATATGTTGGTTTGGAAGAGTCACACACTTATTTCCCATATGAAGCATAGATTGTAGTCAATGAAGTATTTTTTAACCAAATTCAGCCATTTTTTTATTGTCCCCAGATAAAATTTTTGTTGCTATGGCAAACAGTTGATTGCCCTCCCAAGTGTCATTTCTACTTTCTTTTTTTGCCAATAGAATCCCACTTTGG